GGCAATAGGAACTGCACGTGCCTATTCAGATGTTCGAAAACTCGATGTGGAATGTTTATGACTTTATTGCAAATCTCAGCTCTTTTCTTTGAGATAATCGCCAAAGATCCGGGCTTGTATAAATTTCTACGTTTCTAAAACTGGTTTTCGTTATATCTTAACTGTTTCCTCCCAAATCGCACATTACAACTTAAGATTCGTTATTTTTCATTGGAGCCTATCAGCCTTCCATAAATCGTCCCTTTTCTAATCAGATGTTCCGATTTTGAAATGTCTCCAAGGAAATGAATATAAAATTAAACTGGAGCCCAGGATTGTTTTAACATGTAAATGTGCACATGCTTTGAATATAAATTAAGTAGATATGCGATTTGATAAAATTTTAAATTTATTTTCTTTTACAAAATGGAATTTATTCTGTATAACCTGAAATTGGGCATCTAGATTAAAAGGAAGAAGCATCCAGCTTTGGGATTTTAGATAATCTGCTTTAATCTAGAGTACATAGTTTTAAAAAGTCTAGCAACGCAAAAATATCGTCACACAACCGATCGAAGGCTATTTCGTTCAGGGCTTTATTTTTTTTAAATTATTTGTCTTGAAAAAGATGAGTGACCACTAGGCAATGCCAAGTGCTGTGAAGCTGAATGTGTCTGGTGGCATAATGGACAAAAAATCTCTCAAATGTGTTTACATGTTTACTAGGTCTTACGTGTTTACGTAAAAAACATTCCCAAATCGACAAGCGGACAAGCATACACACACATACACACTTACGAATATACAAAATCACCTGAGTTCCGCATAGATAAATTAGAATTATGATACACTTACATACATAAATCAATATTTTCGATTTTTTTTTATTCCAGTTAGGCTAGGAAACGTTTGAGTTTCGAAAAGATGATTCGACTCTCCTTGAATTCGGAACGTTAACTTATATATAAAGTACAATATATATGTGTGTGTTTGTGCGTATCCAAGCAACTCCTCCGCTTCCACTGGTCCGATTTCAATGATTCATAGCTCATTCAAAAGCCCTAAAAAAGTTAGGCACAGGGAACGATTTTTGTCGAGCTCAGATTCAGGGTTACCAGATTATGCGAGGTTTAAAATATATATTAATATAATTTACTAGCCATTATCGTTGCTTCAAGGGGAATAACTCTTTCTTTTCTATTTGTATCCAAAATTGCAGTGCACTTTTTATTCTAAACTAGTACTAGCTTCCGTGGAGAACTCTTGGTTTGGCCATCATCACAATAGCTAGGGAGGAGTAGATCCGGTAGACATCAATGAACTACAGAAGAACTCAAAATTAATCACTGCATTTAAGGATTGAATTGATGTTTAAACTTACCTTTTAAAACTTCAATGATAATTCTTCTGCTTCCACTTAATTTAAAGATCATTTGATGCGCGTAGATCCTTATTCTGTGTACAAACAATTATTTTTATTTCCTGGGTGACAGATCAGGAGAACATTTATAAGATAAAATTAATATAATGTAAAGATGGGAAAATAGAAATTAGAATTAGTTATACATTCAACATTTGAAGAGGTAGAGAAACATAATAGCTAATTAAGTAAAACCTTTATTAAGGAATCTATATGAATACATGCAAAATGGTAGCATAATTATCTAATGGATTTTGGAGTTAAAAAAGCCTAACTCCACTTTATAGTAATTTATACGCAGTATTAACTCCTTCCCCCAACTTAGACGAGATGTGACACAAGGTCTTTGTTAAGTGGGAAACCAGGCGCATACGCCCGAGACAAGTATAAAAATTGATCTCAGCTCCCGCAAGCGTCAGTTACGCTGACCTCGGAGCGAGTACCGATCACTCCCTCTAGTACAATGGTAAGGCGCGGTCTCAGGCAGCTGTTCCCCAGAGCTGGACACCTCTCAGTATAATTTTCTCAGTTGCCCCTCTGTCCTTTGACAGAGAAGCCCCTGAGCGCTCTCTGTCCAAGAACAGAGACGCAACTGAGAGATGATAAGGCTGCGTTAAAAGCCCCCCGAAGAGGGATTTATACGCAGTATTAACTCATTCCCCCAACTTGGACGAGATTGTGACTTTTTTAGGAGGGGACCCGAGCGCGTACGTTTGGGACAAGGTTAAAAATTGCCCTCAGCCCTTATAACCGACGGTTGCGCTGGCCTCAGTGCGAGCACCGATCTCTCCCTCTGGTGCAGTGGCAGGGCGCGGCCTCAGGAAGCTGTTCCCCAGGGCTGGGCACCTCTTCAGTATAATTTTCTCAGTTGCCCCTCTGTCATTTGACAGAGAAGCCTCTGAGCGCACTCTGCACAAAGACAGAGACGCAACTGAGAGATGATAAGCCTGCGTTAAAATCCTTCCAAGGAAGGATTTATACGCTAAAAGCGCAATATCTTTATTATATATTATCTACCTCTAGGTGATATCACTCTTCAGGTTTAACTAATTTGCTTATTGATTTTTTTAAAAAAGTATATTTTATTAACTGTCTTTCATTAGTGTTCTTTTATTCAAGGATTGTTCACATCAAAAACAGTTCTGTTTGAGAATATTGTCTTATATAGTGCTGAAAAGTGTTTGAAATTTGCATTTTACTTGGCTTTCAACAAGTTGGCATCTATTTGTAAAACTTTCCTTAATTATAACATCCAATTTATGAATGAAATGTTCATTTAAAATGTTTGTTTCAAATATTTCAAGTAGTGAATATATCTTATTTTGCGAAACGATAGTGAGCGGGCGAAATCTGCTAGTACATTATATAAACCGACGCTATAAATTATATAAATCAGACGGTTTAAAGAACCAGTGGTTTTAGGATCCAGTCGGTGCCAAATTTAACTGAAATTGCCATGGTTAGGCAGAAGTACCAGTTCTTGCCCATAGAGTTTCGGTGTATAAATCTGTTAAGTTGCATACTGTCTTACATACTAGATTCGCGTTTCCAGCCTTTAGCAAAGATCGGTTATTCTATCTTCAGAATAGTTCTGTTATATATAAATTTAAATGCCGTTGTGATGCTGTATATATAGGACGAACCAATCAAGGGCCGGAAACTCGCATTTCGCAAAACGTACTTGCTTATTTGCGTTCTAATGGTCAGAGTCGTATGAAAAGAAGGATCAAATCGGTGCAAGATTCTCCAATTGGACAATATTTATTGGACAATCCTGACTGTAACGTGGATTATGATGATATTTTTTTATCTTACATACAGCTCGCTCGGTCCACCATCTTAGATTTCTTGAGGCTGTATATATTAAATTTTATCAGCCGAGCAAAAGGAACACTTCATTCGTTCCTTGTTTGATCGAGCGAATATGAATAATTTTTTTTTCTATTTTATACTTATTTTGGAACCTGCTCATTTGCATTTACAAGTGTCAATGATTATTTTGTTTTATTCGTCAAGGTTCACCGAAAGGGTCTTCTAAAAATAAAATGGCGTCATCTCTATTTAAGTCTAAATTATATATATATATATATATATATGTGTGTGTGTGTGTGTGTACTGTATAACAAGTCAAATGCAACGAAAATCAAATAATACAAGAATAAAATTTTATTTTTCCATTCTTCTATTTTTACATTCTCCTCCATGTCTCATTCTCTGATGAAGCTTTAACAGGCGCGAAACATATTAGATTGATAAACGTTTCTTATTTGTTCTTTATCGTATATATCACGTGTACGGGCTTCACAATTGATAAACGTAATGTAAGCTTAGCGTTCGAGCCTGTCTTCGCCATTCTTTTAAAAGATAAGTAAAAAATTTGGGGCTGTGGCCGAGTGGGGAAAATCATGCCGGGCAAACAATGATTTCACCTGCAAAGAGGGTCGCTTTTTACAACTTACCTCCTTCTTGAAAATGCCGCATATTTCTCACCTGCCACTCCCATCTTAAAAGATTAACGCAACAAAATCCTGCTGGTTTCAAATGTTAAGCCTTAAGTAACGTTTTCAAAAAACAGAAGCCCGCGTTTTCGAAAATCAGTCGCGTCCTATTTCGAAAAACAAATCTTCCTTTAGGAAAAATAAGCCTTTGCTTACAAATAAATACCTTACTTTACGAAAAAGAAACCTTGCTTTAAAAAAAAAAAAGCCTTGCATTACGAAACCAAAGAATTACTTTTCGAAGAACAAGCCATCCTTCACGAAAAACAAGCCTTACTTTACAAATAACCAGCCTTGCTTTACTAAAAACACTCGATCCTGCACTAAAAACAATTATTACTTTACGAAAAACAAACATTGTTTGATGAAAAACAAGCTATCCTTCATAAACAATTACTCGTCTTTCACGAAAACAAGCCTTACTTTACAAAAAACAAGGCTCACTTTACGAAAAACAACTCTTGCTTTACGAAATACAAGCCTTGCTTTATGAAATACAAGCCATCCTTCGCGAAAAACAAGCCTAATTTTACGAAAAACAAGCCTTGCTTTACGAAAAATAAGCCTTGCTTTACGAAATACAAGCCATCCTTCGCGAAAAACAAACCTTACTTTACAAAAAACAAGCCTTACTTTACAAAATAACAAGCCTTGCTTTACGAAATACAAGCCATCCTTCGCGAAAAACAAGCCTTACTTTACGAAAAACAAGTCTTGCTTTAGGAAATACACGCCATCCTTCGCGAAAAACAAGCCTTACTTTACGAAAAACAAGCCTTACTTTACGAAAAACAAGCCTTACTTTACGAAATACAAGCCATCCTTCGCGAAAAACAAGCCTTACTTTACGAAAATAAGTAAAAGTAATAAATAAAAAAAAGTAATAAATAAATAAAAATATCCCCATTTTCGAACGAATTCATTCTTTAGGTTAACCAATCCAATCTTAACGAAAAATAAATTCTCCCTTGTCTGAAATCAAAACAAACGCTTATTTCTCAAAAAAAAATTACATCGTTTTAATATGTGACTTTTGGGTCTTAATATACGGCTTTTGGGTCTTAATATAGGGTTTTGTTGAATCTGCTAGTAGTGTAACGGACATGGGTATAGGAAGTGGAATAGTGACGTTTACTTTGACTCTAATACACTTGGTAAAGATTTGAATCACTATTTTCTTCCATTTTCTTTGGGTTTTTTTTTTTGTTCTTGTGTCTTACTATGACCTATCCATCTTTCTTCTCCTATTCAGTTACTCTTTTTGTTATTTTACCTTTTCTTTTTTTCTAGATCTCCTGGTTTTCCTTCGTGTTCTTTTCTCATTGACATTACTCATTTCATTACTCAGTTTTCAATTGTGATTTCCCAATATTTCTCTCTTGCTTCTCCAGCACTTTCTAGTCCGTTTTATGTCTTTTTTTTTATTTACCTCCCTTTACTCCAGCTCCACTTTCCTTCCTTCCTTCCTTCCTTCCTTCCTTCCTTCCTTCCTTCCTTCCTTCCTTCCTTCCTTCCTTCTTCTTCTTCATTTCTCATTTCTACACTTCTTTATCCTCTCTTTCTTCTTACTTTTCTTAATCTTTTTCATAACCAATTTGCTTTCCTTCTTCACCCCCTTCTTCTTCTTTTTCATTCTTTATCGTCTGTTTCATTTTCTTTAGCTTCTTCATAGCTAATTTTCTTTCCTCGTCCTCTTTCTTCTTCCTCTTCTTCTTCTTCTTCATCTTCATTCCTACTCTTCTTTATCCTCTCTTGCTTTCTTTTCTTCATCTTCTTTATAACCGATTTTTTCCTCTCCTCCTCCCCCTCCTTCCTCCTCCTCCCCTCCTTCTCCTCCCCTCCTTCTCCTCATCCTCCCCTTTTACCACATTTATACTGTTCTTTATCGTCTCTTCTTTCTTTCCTTTACCTTCCTCATAGCCAATTTCCTTTCCTCGTCCTCTTTCTTTTTCTTCTTTTTCTTCATTTCTTCTTCTTCCTTTCTACTCTTCCCTATCCTCTCTTTCTTTTTTTTTTCTTCACTTTTTTCATAACCAATTTTCTTTCTTATTCCTTCTTCACTGTTTTCATTTCAATTTCTTGTCACAATTTCCTTTTTTTTCTCTGTCTTTTCTTCTCTTTTTCCTTCTTCTTCCATTTTTCTTCATGTTACTCTTCCTTATCCTGCATTTCTTCCTCTCTCTTCTTGCTTACCATTCTCTTTCTTCTTCCATTCACTTCTTTTTCCGACCAGGTCTTTTTCTTTTCTTTTCTTTACATCTTCTTCTTTTCGCTCCTTTTTTTTGCATTTAAATATCTTTCAACTATCCATTCATTGACGTTTCTTTTAGCTTCATTTTACTTTGCAGAATTTTAGCTTTGAACTTTTCATTTACAAAAAAAAAAAAAAAATCGATTCTCGCTCTGAGGTGAGGCCGGCCAACGTGATCTCCAAACTTTAATCTCATGGGCCTCAAAGAAACACCTGGCTATCGGAATATATTACGATCAAGTTTGTGGAAAAAAAATTCTCTACGTCATCATATTTGTTGAGAGGTTTTTGTCTTTGACTGGCAGAAAATGGAAGAAATAAAAATAACTGTATAAGTATTGTATATACTCGTGTATTAGTCGACTTCCATTTGAGTGCTATCCCTGATATTTTTGCATGAATTTTAAGCCCTTCAGAAAAAAAAAATAATTCGTATCAGTCACGGAAAATTCATGATTTTTAACCCCTTCAAAAATTACCCGTGTATAGTGCGATCATCTATCATAAAACATTACAATATATATCTTCATAGAATAGAGAAGAGATGGATTCATATCTTTCCTAAGGATATTTGCGTGTAAATTAATTTAACGATCCCGACCAGAATTCGAACTCGACAATCCAATTCCGAGCTGTTATCCAGTGCGCGACACTATACATTTTAAATACTTTTTCTACTGAGCGAAATAAAGGGGGGTGCATATAATGACGATAGATTTTTTATTAATTTTTTACGGCTTACCAACCCATTTTAGGTTATTTAAAGCCATAAAATACGTTTGGATTTTAAGATTTGGCGGTAGATAATAATAATTTAATGATATAAGTCTTATTAATTAACCTATAGATGGGGGATTAAGAGGTGGATTCATAACTTTACCAAGGTTATTAGCTTATGAACGAATATCATCATCTTGCGGCCTCAGCCGAGATTGAACTCACCAATACTTTGATTAGTGTAGTTCATAATCTTGTCAAATAGCTGAATTCTTGATGCTTCGCTAGGGCTATCAAGGGTGTTTTTATCGTGACACCATCACTAAATGGATTGCCAACCAAGGCTCAGAGAGACTCCATTCACCCTCCTCTAAGAGCAGGTTTGAATTCAGAGTTTTCCTTCTCCAAAGACCAGTTGCCATCCAAGGCTATAGAACCCAGTCTGTCCTGCTATTTACCTATAGCTGGGGGGAGTAGAAGAGGATTCACACCTTTCCCAAGGGCGTTAGCACGTAAGTGAATGTAATGGATTCGACTGGAATTCGAACTCGGCTCTCCGATTCCTCAATCGAAGCCGCTATCAATTACTCCACCGTGCCTCCCAACGTAAATTGGAAATAGACTCTCCGATTAACAAATTTCAAGTCATTATCAATTACATCACACACACACACATCCAAGATTACAGCACCTGGTATTCCCAAGTGGTACTGACCAGGCTCAATGTTGCTTAACTTCGTTGATCGTACGGGAACCTGTGTTTCAATGTGATGTGGGTGTAATCTTAATGGCAACAGAATAAAGGTCAACATTACGAAAATGGCGAAAGCATAATGGTCCTCATTAGAAAATATACTGAGGTGACCGTAAATAAAATGGCGACGGAAGTAATTGCATCATTAGTAAAATGGCGAAGGAATTAACATAAGGAATTAAAGTGAAAGCGTTTATAATATCCTAACAGAATAAAGATCATCTTTTGTAAAATGCTGAATAAACGTCATTATTAGAAAAATGGCGACTGAATAAAAACAATCATAAAAAAAATGGCTCAAAAATAAAGGCGATCATAAATAAAATGGCAACAAAATGAATATGATCATAAATAAAATGGCGACGGAAGATGGCGAATGAAGATGATTATTCGTAAAATGAGGCCAGAATTACGACAAGCAGAAAAATGGCGCCCAAAAAGATGCGATCATGAAAAAAATGGCGACCGAATAAAAGTCCTCATTAGTAAAAGGGGAACTGAATAAAGACAACTATAGCAAAAATGGCTCCAAAATAAAAGTGTCATAAATAAAATGGCCACCGAATGAAGAGCATCATGTAAAATGTTTATAGAATAAAAACGATCAATGTTGGTACACAGACGTTACTATATAACCATGTATGAACAAAGACAATTCTAAATAATATACACTAGAAACCCTCAAATCCAGACTTTAGAGTAATTCGGATATGTGGACGAGTTGTGAAATATTATGGTATGTGTAGTATAAATATAACTTAACAAGACACATAAACTTATCGCAATATATGAAAAATTAAATGCCTCGCCAAAGTAAATATTTGCAATGTTTAATGCTCAATAAGTTTTACTTTTAATTGTCTTTTTTTATTTTTTTTCTCATTCCGTTTACTTTTCGCTGTTGTAGTTTTTTTTTAAGTAAAGCATTTTTGCAAATTACATGCACTTGTACATTCTGTACTACTGAACAAAGATTTTTCTCTATGAATCTGCTGACCTCATCAATAGCTTTCACTCCTGAGTCCCAGTCTTCTTCTTCATCCTTCATATATTCACCATTATCAGAAAAATTTGATTCTTCCTGTATTTCATGGAAATCCAACTCATTTTGAAGCGTTTCTATCGTTGAATTCTTTTGCGTCTAATTAGCGTCTTCATTTATCCATTCTTTTAAGTTATCCGAAATGAGAGTATTCAGTGGACCATCTTCAAGTGCAAGTTTTGGTGTTTCGTTCAGATTCTGCAAATTCAAAGAATGAGGAGCTTCGTCCAGTTTTTCTCTAATTTTTGATGTAACGTCAAAAAATTCCTTTTACTTTTTCTTCCAGTTGAAGTTTCTTCTGTGCGAAACATTATGCTTTGAGAAATTTCAAGTTACTAACCATTATCTACAAAGTAAAGGAAAATATTAGAATGTAGTATATTCCTACAGCCTCTAAATGGCAACACTGAGCAGTTCGGATAAGAGGACTTTCGGATATCAGGACTTCTACTGTACTTCTAAAATCTATATTTATCCCCCTGGAAAACGAACCACTCTTCTATCATGATTAAACTTTAATTGTTGTTACTTTATTCTTTATTCTCCGATTGATTTCTACCGCGACTTTACTCATAAAAAAAGGATAAACTCTTGGCGAGATTCGAATGTACGTTGTTTTAATCTCGGAAAAGTCTCGTTGAACGCGATTAAAAGTTGAACGCACTAAAATGATGATATTGATTAAAAGTAACTTAGAATGAAAATGAAATTTAATCCAACAAAAAGACATAATTAAATGCGACAAGAGAAATACTTCAACTACAATGGTTGGTAATATGAAAAGAAAAAAAATGAAATCAGAGAAAAAATACTACACGAACCGGTTATCGTTTATCTCTTGACAAAACTTGATTGAGGAAATTAAAATACTGTGCACACCGACAAATAAATGGACAACCGAGGAAGGAAAACACACATGCATCAAGAATATAATGCGATGGGTATATCTATAGACAGATCACATTAAAACTTAACAACTAATCCTTTAGTTTACAGAAGGATTATTTTATTAACTGTCTTGATTGAATATAAATTGCCTCGCGGACTTTTAAGTGATTTTCGAAATGTGATCCGTTCAAAACTGAAAACATATCCTCATGGAAGAATGCTGCACTTTCTCAATCTTTAATTAGATGTTCTGAAATAACAAACCCGGATGTAACTTAACTCATGTGTTGGACATTTGTCTTCTCTTGGGGCTCAGTGATCCTACAGATGTCGTCAGCTTCACGCGGACACTTAAATTAATAGATTACAGAACATGTTCGAAAGATTGGCTGGCCATCTTTAAGAACTGATTTTAAGAAGAGAACGTTAATCAGCAACATTATTGGTCCTGACCTGGCCTCTCGGCCCTATTCATTTTCCCACCGCTGTAAAGTTGCTTTTTCTGTAAATACTTTCATGGCAATTGTTTCGATGAGCTCTTAGGTATGGTAACTAGATTTTATGAATTTAAGCATGTCACCATTCTACAGCTGAAATAACTAGCTGTAACCGTAAGTTCTATGCTAACAGTTTCTTTTCTCGAATTTATCGCTGGTGGAACTCTTTTCCGACTGGAGGCTTTCCAGTCAACTTCGATCTTCGAAAATTTAAATGCAATGTCAATTGCTATCTGCTGTTTCCCTGATTACTCTTCTATTGTTCTCACTCCTTAATAAAATTTATTTTAGTATAATTCTTCTACACGCAGTAACCAATTGTGTCTTAGTGGCTTTACTGCCTTGCTTGGTTTGATCTCAATTTAAAAAAATGCAAGAATAACATAATCTGAGTCTGAAATGAAATAAAGTAGTGACAACTAGAAATGTTTTATGGAAAAAATATAGAAAACTATTTTATCCTTAAAGAGGTTACAAAGAAACAAAAGGGGTACTTGAGTGAAAAGGAACAGCAACACGCGCGTAGATGAAAGAAAGTTTATTGTAAAGGAGAATATACAACTGAAAGACAAGCAATTGGTTAGAAAGTTAGTAATTCCCGAAGCAAGGATATCTACCAACTGCCCCACGCCATGGGATGTGGCCGAATTTAATGTGGGGTATCAGAGCTCGTAGGCTCGGCCAAAAATTCCCTGTAGACCCCGTATAAAACTGGGTCGCGTAGCTGTTTCTCGAGACGAGAATCTGCCCTTCGACATAGCCTCGTTTGGGGATCCTCTCTGCTCGGAGTCATAAAGTTTGACCAGCAAAGCTGGAGACGAATTTCCAACTGCAGGATATCAACCAGCCGCCCCAGGCGGTCAGATGTGGCACAAGGCCGAATTAATTTGGGGTATATGAACCCGTAGTCTAGGTCAAAAATTCCCAGTAGACCCCGCATAAAAGCTGTTTCTCGAGACGAGAATCTGCCCTTCGACATAGCCTGGTCTGGGTTCCTCTCTGTCCGAAGGCAGAGAGTTCGACCAGGACAGCTGGAGATGGATCGCCAACCAATTTCCAAAGCAATGATATTTACCTTACCCCACGCACGGCAGGATGTGGCACAAGGCAGTTTTAATGCGGGGTCAACCGCGCCCGTAGGGTCAGGCAAAAATTTTCCGTAGACCCCGTATACACGGGGTCGGGTAGCTGTCTACCACCCAAGACGAGACTCTGCCGTTCGGCATAGCCTCGTCTGGGTTTCTCTCTGTCCGAAGGCAGAGAGTTCGACCAGCACAGCTGAAGAAGAATCTCCAACTAATTGCCAAGTTTTTTTTTAACTCGCCAAACCTCTCGAGGTTGGATGTGGCACAAGGCCGTTATTTAACGCTGGTAAAACCGAGCCCGTAGGCTCGAACAAAAATTCCCCGTAGACTCCGTAAAAACGGGGTCGGTAGGTGTCTACCATCCCATACGAGGGCCGGCCCTTCGGCATAGCCCCGTCTGGTTTGCTCTCCGCCCGAAGGCAGAGAGTTCGACTAGCTTAGCTGGAGACGAATCTACAAAGTATTGCCGGTTATGAAGCAAGGTTATTTACCTCACCACCACGCGAGGAAGGCTATGGCAAAAGGCATTTTTTAATGCGGGGTAAAACCGAGACCGTGGGCTCGGGCAAAAATTCCCCGTAGACCCTGTAAAAAACGGGGTCGGGTAGCTATCTACCTCCCCAGACGAGACTCTACCCTTCGGCATAGCCTTGTCTGGGTTCCTTTCTGCCCGAAGGAAGAGAGCTAGACCAACTCAGTTGTAGACGAATCTCCAACTAATTGCTGAAGCAAGTTTATTTACCTCACCACCCCGCGTGGCAGGATGTGGCACGAGGCATTTTTTAATGCGGGGTAAAACCGATCCTGTAGGGCCGGGCAAAAATTCCCCGTAGACCCCGTAAAAACGGGGTCGGGTAGCTGTCTACCACCTCAGACGAGACTCTGCCCTTGCGAGTTCGATTAGCTTAGCTGGAGACGAATCTACAAATAATTGCCGAAGCAGGTTACCAGGTATATCCTGTGCTCACGATATATATATATATATATATATATATATATATATATATATATATATATATATATATATCTACTGATATAGTCCGTCTACTATAGGCGATATAAAAAGAGTAGGACATTCCATTACAACATAACACATAAGCGAAGCATTTGAAAAATATCTCAGTTTACCTATTACAAATTTGGCGTTAGATTTCTCAATTGACCCCTGGAACTCAACGCCTTAAAATTTTGTGAACACCGACTAAAAAAAGAAAAATATGAGGAAACATCATATTAAGAATAACCAGCCAACCCTTTTCTTTGAAGAATGATGGTTGTCTTGATTTAATATTAGTTATCTCGAAACATTTAAGTGATAGTTGTAAATTGATCCTCTCAAAATTTAGAAAATATCCTCACAAGAGGCTGATGTACGTAGCTCGTATTTAATAACATTTTTTTTTTTGAGATTGTAGACTTAGATGTAACAGAAACTCATGGGCATGTCCCGGCTGACCTTTTCTAATACACGCTGATACATGTTGGGAAATTATCTTTGAGTGGTCCTGCCTATATAGTCAGCTTCACACTTAAGAAGTAGAACAGTGCTCGAAAGATCTTTAGACCATCTTTATAAAAGGATTTCAACATTGGTAGAGCAGCGAACACGATGCGTAAATTAGCCGACAAATGAGAATAGACTGGCATTTGTAGGCATTTCCTTAGCAAATCTCACACCAACCTCGCAGATAAACAGCAATTTAAGATATACAGGACATTTTTCAAAACCAAGAAATTTCGATTTATGAAACGCATAATCTCATTATTAATGCCAGATTGCAACATGTCCGGAGTTTGGCTTTTATGAGCCAAGCATTTTTTTAAAGGGAAGTTGATACTAACAACAAAATAATAATAATTGCTGGCAAAGTTTCATCGAATAAATCATGAATTTGAAAATAAATACCATAATTCCCCATGTATAATACGCATTTTTTCTAAAAATTAATAAGCAAAATTAGGGGTACGTATTATGCGCAGCTACAAAAATATCTTTATAAAATTGCCGTCATAGTTCGATTTCAGTTGCGAAATGACTACTCACCACAGGCATACGACAATTTGACACTAACATTCGGCGATTGCGACCCCATAAAGATAACAGATACAATCATGTACTTAACAATACTTACAAATGTAAAATAAGATAAGAATAAGCAAGAAACTAAATTAGAATAATATTATTCTATGTTTAAAACCATTTTTTTTAATAAGAGTGGGAAACGCTGGCCGGAATGAAATTGGAAAGGTACAATTTATAGGGTTTGATTACCAAACAAGGACTGCGTATTATGTGAGTAGAAGCATTTTTCGACACTTTCAGCACAATTTTAAGCGTGCGTATTATGGATGAATGCCTATTATACATGGGGAATTATGATACTCACTGAAAAGTAATAAAAAGTTTTTTCCAATACATTATCTAATAAAATGTAGATGAAAATACAATCAAAAATGAATAATATACTCTAAACATATTCCACCGAGCAAAAGTTTTTCAACTGAGGCGGGTACAAGAAATTGTTAACTAATGAAAGTTAATATAATTTTCATTAGTCAACAATTACTTGTATCCTCCTCAGAGGTGAACGCTACATAGTTCCCTTCATTCGCCGATAGAGTATTGGCCTTGTTTTAAAGGAAGAGGTTCTATTAGTAGGAGTTTTTGTGGGAGTTTATGGTAATACTGGGAGTTTCTCCGGGAATTTGTGCTCACAATGGGAGATTCCATAGGAATATGTGTTAATAGTAGGAGTTTTTTTTAAGGGAGATTGTTAACAGTAGGAGATTTGATGAGAATTTCTGTTAATAGAAGGAGTTTTGTGGAATTTTGTGCTAATGCTAGAAGTTTTTGTGGGAATTTGTGCTAACAGTAGGGGTTTTCGTGAGAGTTTGTGCTAAGACTAGGAGTTTATGTGGGAATTTTTGCTAATAGCAGGAGTTTTCGTGGGCGTTTGTGCTAAGACTAGGAGACTCCCTGGGAATTTGTGTTAATAGTTTTCATGGCAGATTGTGCTAACAGTAGGAGTTTCTGTGGGAATTTGTGTTAATAGCAAGAGTTTTCGTGGGAGTTTGTGCTAAGACTAGGAGACTCCCTGGGAATTTATGTTAATAGTTTTCATAGCAGATTGTGCTAACAGTGAGAGTTTCCGTGGGAATTTGTGTTAATAGCAGGAGTTTTCGTGGGAGTTTGTGCTAAGACTAGGAGTCTCCCTGGGAGTTTGTGCTAATACTAGGAGTTTCCATAGGAATTTGTGTAATAGTAGGAGTTTCCTTGGGAGTTTGTGATTATAGTAGGAGTTTCTGTGGTAGTTTATGCTAACAGTAGGAGTTTCCATGGGAATTTGTGCTAATAATAAACGTTTCCTTGGGAATTTGGGTTCACAGGCGGTCCCCAATCGCATATATACATACATTTAGGATGCTGCGATCCAATTTGAATACAGGTTTTCCTTCTCCTGGTCTAGTTGCCACCCAAGGCTTTAAAACGCAGTTTGTCCTGTTACTTTTGTTAGTTGGAGAGCGAATAAATGGATTCATGCCTTTCCCTACGTAAGTGAATCTAATGAACTCAACTGGAATTCGACCTTATCTCTCTGATTCCTCAATTCGATCTGCTAACAATGACTCCATCCTGCCCTCCAGCGCTACGAAATCTTACAAAATTAAAACATTGAAAGATTTGTGCTAGACGTCAATGGAAAATACATTCATGAAATGAAAAAGTCACGCGTTTTCATAAAATACCTACATTTCCTTACAACCAGAATTTGTATTGTCGTAATTCGTTCTGTTCATTGTTACCCAGGAGATTAGCCCAATTATTTGAAAGAGATTGGCCTTGGGTTAGCTTTACATTTTAGAATTCCTCTTATTAGCGTTTCGCAAAGAAAATGTTTTCCAGATCTTGTAAGACAATGTGCTTGAAAATCGCTTCGTGTTACACATTTATCTGAACCGGGTAACGCAACGTACTGAAAGATTAAAAAAAATGGCTACGAACAAAGTAATCTTAACTATATTACACACATATCCACTAATCGAAATCTTCGCACATAACTATATAGCGAAACACACAGAAAATACTTACGTACATACATTCTAGCATCCACTTACGCTGCCGTTAATATATTTTTATAGACATCCGGTCGTTATTTCCTGTCTTCATTTTTCGATTGCCGAACCATTTCTAGTCTCTGTCTCTCACTCTTTTATCTCAATTTTTTTGAGTCTTTGCTGGAAGAGTAATTACGTTTTCGACGTCATCTCTGATTGCACGGGGTTTTTGTAGTTTTTAAGCGTGTCCATCATCACTTGGCTTTTGTTTTAATTTACTTCTTTTTTTTATATATATATTACTCTTTGTTTCTTTCAATTTCGTTTTACAGCCACTTTCACTTTTGTAGTCATTTTTAAGTTCAGCCGTGATTTTCTTTCATTATCTTTTAGAATTCTTTTTATTAGCTTCTCCTCAACTTTGGAGTTTTCTTTTTTCATATTAATGTTCCACATTTTTTTTCTATCTTTCCTCTGGTTTGGCCTGTTTCTCTTTTAAATTCATTTCGTCTTTAATACTATTCTCTGGCTTTATCCGTGTCGTTGTGGGCATCTCATTTCCTTTTTTATCGTTTCGTTTTACTTTCACTTTCATTTTCACTTTGACAGTCACTTTTATTTATTAGGTTTTCTTTGGCATATGTAATTTTATTTTCTTGCCTCATGCAATCACACTTTCACAAAAAAGTTCTCATATTCTCGAAAATGTTCCAACTTTCGATATACGAACTAGAAATCATGTGGCATTTAGTTTTCACGTTCTTGCTTCGTTGTCTTATCTAATAATAATTTCTTAATTTCGGTCTTCAAATCGGTTAATTTTTGTCTTTCCATTCGTGCTTTATTAATCAATTTATTTATCTCAGCCTATTTACGTGAATTCATTTTTACTCTAGGCACATCAATCATTTCCTTCGCTATAGCAGATTGTTCATATCTATCTATCTACCTATCTATCTATATATCTATCTATCTATCTATCTCAGTCTGTTCATCTTCTCATCCTTTCTTCTATCACTCCTATCTGATCTTGCTCCAAATTTTTCTGTAACCTCTTGCGTCCTAGTGGCTTCTCGTCTTGCTTGGGGTGAAACGATTAAAAAAAAATAGATAAAAATCTATCTATCTCAGCCTGTTCATATCTATCTATCTATCTATCTATCTATCTATCTATCTATCTATCTATCTATCTATCTCAGTCTGTTCATCTCCTCATCATTTCTTCTATTACTCCTATCTGATCTTGCTCAAAATTTTTCTGTAACCCCTTGCGTCCTAGTGGCTTCTCGCATTGCTTGGGGTGAAACGATTAAAAAAAATCTATCTATCTATAAATATAATATAGGCTCAACCTTTAGTAACACCCGCTGAATTTAATAATTAGTAAGTTTTATAACTACTTTAGTCTAAGCCAGGATGCTTAGTCCATGGCATTCAATATTTTAGAAAGAGTTTACCTAAACATTAAAATGTGCAAGTTCTAGAATTAACATTAGCCAGCCGTGAAGATTATGCAAAAAGAGCAAAGATCTTACGAAATTAACCCATTAATGCGTAAAGATTCTGTAAAAAAGACTGGAAAATAAAAAATAAATATCTACATATTTAGTTAAACAAACAAAATCCCAATAATTATTAATAGATTAGCCGAAAGCGTTCGCATCCACAAATAATTTTGACACTTTTTACAAATTTTATGTCCAGAAAAAAAAATACTTGTAAGAATGCAAGAATATAATAAAAAGTTTAATCGTAGTATTCATTCAATCACCTATCTCTCTCTCTCTCTGTATATATATATATATATATATATATATATATATATATATATATATATATATATATAGTTTATGAAAAACTAGGTAATCCGTATGGGTAAACCTAAGGAGGATAAAATCCAGAGAGCTCTATGTAAATCCAGAGCAAATAATTTAAATAAAACAGACCACGTTAAGGTTCCATGTAATAAATTATTTCACCACAGCCCTTTTAAAGGACTGTGGATCATCGACTTTTACTTCCAAACAAAAAAAAATGAAAAGAAAATTTACACACATATATATATATATATATATATAGATAGATAGATAGATAGATAGATAGATAATATTAGTGGTAAATATACATACATATGCAAAATATATAAATACCCATACATGTATATTTTCAGAAAAAAATTTCCAAGAGGAAGAATCCAGGTAGAACCTCAATGTCATAATTTATTCCATTGGAATCATAAATACGATCCAATTTTTTTTTTTTTTTTTTTTTTTGAATTTGTAGGTCTGATGAATTGGATCGTATTTACGATTCCAATGGAATAAATTATGACCATGGAATATTAGTGTTTAAGCCTTTTTTATATATATATATATATATATATATATATATATATATATATATATATATATATGTATTCATATATATATGTGTGTGTGTATGTGTGTGTGCGTGTGCATGCGCGCGTGTGTGTGTATGTTCAGACTGTTGATATAGCTAGATAACCCGATCTCTCCCAGAAACTAGTGACGTAGGTCAGCTCAGTACAAATTAATTTGAAAGAGAACAAAATGATATATAATTAAATATTTTGAAGTAAGACTATGTTACTTAATCTCGATAGCATTCGATTTCTCTCTCATTTCTCGCTTATAAATTTACCATTCGTCCATGCTTTGAATATTGCTAACATGCGTAGTCCGATGCTACTGCTATGTATATAGAAATCATACTTATTATAAAACCCAGGTTGTGTGTGTGTGGGGGTGTGTGTGTGTGTACGTTTATATATTGGATTGGATTTCCTACATTTTTCAACCGATTTCAACAAAACTTCACAGGACTACGTAAAATTATCTTGCGGTGGTTCTGACAGCGCCCAAAATTGGAAAAACACAATTGTTTTTGCACAAAATCAATTTGAAAACACGATTAAGAGGCATTGCTTTCACAGAATGAAAGGGGGACAACTCATATCGAGTTATACTTATTATAAAACCCAAGTTGTTTGTGTGTGTGTGTGTGTGTGTGTGTGTGTGTTTATATATGGGATCGGATTTCCTACATTTTTCAACCGATTTCAACAAAACTTCACTTTTTGGGGGGGCAGGTAGTGTTTCTTATTGTCTTGCACACTTTTTTCCTTTATTTTTACATTCAGAATGCTTTAAAAATTCCATTTACAAGACAATTGTTTATAATAAAATTCTATTTAATCGGTAGACTCATAACGATTAAAAACAATGTTTTTGTTTGAGTTTGAGTTTGACCAATTCGTAAAAAAAAAACAAAAAAAAAACCTAAAACAAAACAAAAAAATAACTAATTAAGACATGCGTGTCCGTCAACTTTAAACAATAATCTTTGCCAATTTTATTTTTCAGTCTTTATGATGGTCGATACTTGATCTTTCTCCTACTGTTACATCCCCGGGCAACGCCGGGCTCTACTGCTAGTTATTAATATAATTTAAAGAAGAATCTGCAATGTTATCGGTCCTGACCTGACACCTCGGCTTCGGTCACTTTCCCATCGCCGTCATATCCCTACCCAGTGAGTCTTCTATAAATGGAAATTGTTAAGGGGAGTTTTTTTTTTTTTTTTGTTCTGTATCTAGATTTTACGAATTTTATCGCGGTATTAGATTTGCAGTCTTCATTTTACAGTTTATTCGGCTAGATGTAACCGTAGATTCTGTGCTAACAGTTTCTTCTCTCGCACTTCCTCCGTGTGGAACTCTCTTCCGGCTTCTTGCTTTCCACTCATTTCTGATCACCTAAAATTGAAGTGCAACACCAGTCTTCATCTTCTGTGTCTTTAAATCGCTTGGTGTTGACTTTAGTGTCCTCACCTGACATCTCAGCTTCCCGCCACCATAACTTAGCTTCCTAGTGATTTTTCTATAAATACTTTCATGGTAATAAGATTTCATCTTTGGCACCTTGACATTACCAATTTAACTACTGTAATAGATTGCTATTTGAAGCTCATTATTACATTTAATTCTTCCAGTCGACCATGCCTTGAATACTGCTGCATCATATATATATATATATATATATATATATATATATATATATATATATATATATATATAGATAGATAGATAGATAGATAGATAGATAAACCTAGTGAGCCAGACAAATATGCAAATATATATATTCATGAATCATTCATACAAAAAACAAATATAGAGGTTAATGATTTAAATGGCGAGAATACATCATCGCAAACAATATAAATAAGATACATCAACCCCGAACCTGTATATGAATGATATGATCCCTGTTTATAAATTCCAGTTGCATAAGGTCTTTTTAATTTTTTACAAGCTTTCGTCTGTTCCTACAGACATCATCAGGTATGGAAGTAGATTTTGGGGTTCGTGGTTGGTGTATCTTATTTATATTGTTTGCGATGATGTATTCTCGCCATTTAAATCATTAACCTCTATGTTTGTTTTTTGTATGAATGATTCATGAATTTATAAATTATAATTGCGCCTTTTAATTGAAATTATATATATATATATATATATATATATATATATATATATATTAGTTAAAAGTACTCAATATCAGAGATTGAGCGTATGTAAATATAAACGTGAACACTGAGGACAACACTGAACAGTCATCGTGTGTTTCATTTTGGAAACACACTGTCATGGAATTCAAGCATGTCAACGACTCTCATCGCTCGGTTTTGACTTCAATGTCCTGACTTCGGCTTTACTCACATTCCCGCCACCATAACGGAGCTTCCAAGTGTTTTTCTATAAATGCTTTCATGGTAATGAGATTTCTTCGTTTGACACCGTGTCATTACCAAATTAACAACAGAAGTAGATTGGTATTTGAGGCTCATTATTACACATAATTCTCCCAGTCGTCCATGCCTTGAATACTGCTGCAACATGTGGTCTGGTGCTCCTGCTATATATTTAGAGATTTTTGACAAAATCTAAAGAAGAATCTGCAATGATATCGGTCATAACCCGGCATCTCGGCTTCAGTCACATTCCCGCCGCCGTAGCGTAGCTTTCTCGTGCATTTTCTATAAATACTTCCATGAAAATTGTTATGACGAGCTTTTCTCTTTACTACGAATTTCAGCGCTGTACTTGGCAACCAAGTTTCATCATCTTCAAGTTTAATCGGTTCGATGTAACCGTACCTTCTTGCTAACCATTTCTTCTCTCGCACTTCTCGCTTGTGGAACTCTCTTCCGGCTTCTTGATTTCCAGTCATCTTTGATCATCCGAAACTGAAATGCAACCCAAGTCTTCATCTTCTGTCTCCTTAAATGTCTTCTTTTTTGCTTTCTCTCAGTTTTTTTCATCCTAACTGTCCCAATAGCAAAAGGTCCTGATATCCTTAATCAGACCTCGTATATATATATATATATATATATATATATATATATCTATTTATATATATATATATATATATATATATATAAAGAGAAAAAGAAAAAAAAAGAGAGAGAGAGAGAGAGAGAGAGGGTAGGTATGTACGGTGGAGTAATGGATAGTGGTTCGGACTGAGGAACTAGAGAGCCGATTTCGAATTACACTCGAATCCATTACATTCACTTACGTGCTAATACTTTTAGGAAAGGTATGAATCCTCTTCTTCTCTCCGCCCCCACCAGCTATGGACAGCAGAATAGAATGTATTCTATAGCCTTGGATAGCAACTGGTCTGAATTCAAAACCATGTCTCCGTATTCTGCAATTCAAAAAGTCAGGTTCGGCACAAAGCCTTCACCATTATTATCAAATCGTACGCGTGGTACCTAGGAATGATGACACTTATACGTCGGAAAAGACTACGGGAGAGTTCAGTATATAATAATAATAATAATAATAATAATAATAATAATAATAATAATAATGGACTCTCCCGTCGTTTTGACGTATGAGGATCTGAAAGTTTATTGATTCAGTTATGAAAGTTTGTGCGATAATCTTAAGTGGAATTTAAGACCCGCTAGTGATTTACAAAGGAGGCCACATATGGAGCAAGTGTGAGGATTTTGAGATGAGATCACTGTTAGATTGGCTGACCTTTTACATCTTGCTCTCGCTTCTTGACGATGATTCAGACAAGCAGATTGAAAATTGCTGAGTCCACAAAACACGTTGATCTCCATTCTACCCGCTCCAAAGCTAAGCACTCAAGGGTGTTATGTGGTATATTGACTGCTGACAAGTTGCTTTTCAGCTTGTCTTTGTATCTTA